TTTACCCAGAAGAAACACTACCACAGCAGGTTTCCCTGAGGCAGTCAAGGTAACTTGTGAAAGTAGGTCATATTTTCCCCTCTCCATTACCGTTTTGGCAGTCAGTTCCTCAGGAAGGTGCTGAGTCAGGCTTCAGGCATATTCATGAGCCTTTTCTCTACCCCATATTCTACAAAGTCTCACTGGGGTTAAAGTAGAAAAAACCCCCACAATTCTCTACACGTGAGATCACAATTCTGTATCCTCATTGTTTCTGGATAATGAAGTCAAACCCAACAATCCTTGTGCCTAGAATTTGAAGCCTAAGAGGTTTGGCTTTTGCCAAACCCAAAATTTTTTGAGGCCCAGTTCAAAGGTCACTTCAGAGCCTTCCTAGTGCTCTGCAATCCGTACTTGCTCCCTAGGTCTGCAGAGTTCTGTTACAGCATTAGCAGTGAGGTGTTGAAATTACTATTTGCTTATAAGTCAGTTAATTTTGCAAGAACTGTTGGCTAAATATTCTAGTCCCAGAGCCTCGCATCAGGCTGTGGGTAGAGAAGATTGTAAACTGTTGTACTAATTGAGTGTTGGTTTAGGGCTGTTAGGATGTTAAATATTTCCCCCAAAGGCTCAGTGAAAGACTTCAGAGCAGTGCATTTTGGATTTCAGATTTTCAGATTAGGGAAGCTCAACCGGTAAAGTTTGAGAAAATCCCAAATTCGAAACACTTCTGGTCCCAAGCATGTTGGATAAGAGATATTCAACTTGTAGTATAATGATGGAACTGAGGCTCAGAAAGATTTGGAATCTACGTGTCCTGAAACAAGGCCCTGATTATTTCTAGAAAAGCATTCTGGAAATCTCTTGAGGAGGCACCATATAAATCAGGCCTTGATACATTTTCATATAGAGGGTGTTCTAGGTGAGATAAAGAACATAAAAATGTATGCCTGGGGTGAAGGGTAGAGGATGTAGTGGAAGGGCCAACAATAGCCTAGAGGGGCCGGCTAGGTAATGAGAACAGGCAAGAATATTGGACAGAAACATGGGTTAACAAGTTACTTTCTCCTTTGCTATAAACAATGTATAGCAACAATATTAGCACCTGCCAGATTGAGAGAGGTGGTGATTGCAGTAAAATACAGCAGCTCTTGCACATTGTTACCAAGCAGAAACTCAGGCCGGGTAGGGCCAGATAGTATTTTTCTTTTTTGTAGATAGGTTTTACTCGGCTGCTGGGGCTGGAGTGCAGTGATCATTCTAGCTCACTGCAGACTCAACCACCTGGACTCAAGTGATCCTCTTGCCCCAGCCTCCCAAGTAGCTAGGACTACAGGTATGTGCCACCACAGCCAGCTTTTAAATTTTTTTATAGAGACAGGTCTCACTATGCTGCCCAGGCTGGTCTTGAGCTCCTGGCCTCAAGTGATCCTCCTGCCTTGGCCTCCCAAAGGGTTGGGATTACAGGCATGAGCCAAAGAGCTTGGCCTCTTTTTAAAAATGGATACTTCATGAGAGTCTTTTTCCAGACAGACATTTCTTGATTTTTTAAAAAAATGTTGGCCGGGCGCGGTGGCTCAAGCCTGTAATCCCAGCACTTTGGGAGGCCGAGACAGGCGGATCACGAAGGTCGGGAGATCGAGACAACATCCTGGCTAACCACGGGGAAACCCCGTCTCTACTAAAAATACAAAAAATTAGCCGGCATGGTGGCGCGGCACCTGTAAGCGCCAGCTACTTGGGAGGCGAAGGCAGGAGAATGGCATGAACCGGCCAGCGGAGCTGTGCAGGAGCCGAGATCACGACACTCGCACTCCAGTCCTGGGTGATCAGAGCGAGACTCTGTCCTCAAAAAAAAAACAAAAAAAAAATGTTTGGGCAACTAATCAAACTTAGAACATCGCCAAGCAAAACCTTCCTGTGGGTTCAAATAAGCTTCGGCTCGCTTGTCTGTCATTCTATGTTTAGAATTGATCTAAACTGAAAGAGGAGTCCTGTGACAATTATTTGATCTTAAGAGGTTCAGTGCCAGCGCAAACGATGGCTCATGCCTGTAATCCCCAGCACCTTGCGCGGAGGCAGGTCAGATACCTGAGCATCAGGAGTTCAAGACCAGCCTGGCAACGTGGAAACCGTCTCCTACTAAAAATACATAAATTAGCTGGCGTGGGTGGTGGGCGCCCTGTAAGACCCAGCTACTTGGGAGGCTGAGGCAGGAGAATCACTTGAACCCAGGAGGCGCAAGGTTGCAGGTGAACCAGGTCCGCCATTGCCCACTCCAGCCCTGGATGCCAAGAATAAAACACCTCCCGTTTCAAAAAAAAAGGGTTCAAAGACTGGTAATGTAGTGCGATGACAGTAAGTCAAAATCATTTAGAAGAAGACCTCTAGAAATGCAACTGAACTACAGTGACAGCCACAGTCAGTGGTTGCTGGGGTGGGGCCAGAAAACGGGATTCTCAAGCAGGAAGCTTATGGCTATGAGACGTCATAGATATATTCATATTTGTGGTGTTTATGGGTGTCATAGTGTTTCAATTTATCAAAAGTGTACATACTTTAATATGTACAATTATTGTGTCAATTATATTTTCATAAGCCGACTGAAAAAACTTTACAGCCAGGTATAGGGTTGGACAACTCCTATTTCACTGTGTAAGCCTAAAGTTTAAACACCTCCTTTATTCCTTCCCCCAAATCCAGTCTGGGTCATTCCAACCAAAGAGCAATTTAGATACTTGTGCAACAGGTTTTTTTATTTTTGCTTATTCTACATTACAGTGTTTGAAACAAAGAAATACAGTTTTCTCTTCAATTGATGTGTATTAAATACATTTGTCTGGACTCAGCCACACTCAATGCCATGGTTTCTTGGCTACGTATGCTCTGTGAAATCAAGCTGTGTCTGATCTACCCAGGGCCCCTGAGAACATGGAAAATAGAGTTTATAGTTATTAGAAAATAAAAAGGCAAATGAATTTGCAAGAAAAACCAGTGAGAAGGATTAGATTCATCTTCCAAGGGTCCATAGCTGGTAACTCAAGCCATTCTTGGGGGATATCCAAGTCTCTTGATGTGGCTGGGACTCCATTACCCACTTTCCCTTCTTTAATAGGTCAAAGGCAATTCCCACAAAGTGGCTAAAAAAGCCGACACCCAGCTTCAGAGTCTGAGGGTTTCATGAAGTGTGGACTTTTTTTTTTTTTTGAGACAGAGCTCACCCTGTCACCCAGGCTGATGCAATCTTGCTCACTGCAACCTCGTGCTCCTGTTCAAGAGATTCTCCTGCCTCAGCCTCCACCGCGTAGCTGGGATCACAGGTGCCCACCATCACACCCGGCTTTTTTTTTTTAAGTAGGGACGGGGTTTCACTATGTTGGCCAGGCGGTGGTTTGAACTCCTGACCAAGTGATCCACTCTGCCCTTGGCCTCCCAAAGGGCTAGGAATTACGGCATGAGCCACCGTGCCCAGCTGAAGATGTGGTTTTTTGTTTTTTTTTGAGACGGAGTCTCGCACTGTCACCCGAGCTGAAGTCAGTTCATAATCTTGGCTCACTGCAACCTCCGCCTTGTGGGTTCAAGTGATTCTCCTGCCTCAGCCTCCCAAGTAGCTGGGATTACAGGCGTCTGCCACCACGCCCAGCTAATTTTTTGTATTTTTAGTAGAGACGAGGTTTCACTATGTTGCCAGGCTGGTCTCAAACTCCTGACCTTGTGATCCGCCCACCTCGGCCTCCCAAAGTGCTGGGATTACAGGCGTGTGCCATCGCGCCCAGCCAGATGTGGACTCTTTAAGGACATGCTCTGAGTCAGAGGTAGGGTCTCTGAGAGCTTACTTCCTTCAATGCCCCCCAGGACATGGCATATATAATAGTTCAAGAGAACAGGGCTGGGGTTCAGCAGCAGGGTTCAGGTATGAGCTTATGTGGACATCAGAAGTCAGGCTGGCCCAGGAGCAGCTAGGCAGGCCACTGAAGATATGCTACATAAACCTTTTCCCATGGTGTTCTGGGCCTAACATGTAATGGTGCCTCTTCTAACTCTCACAGCCAGCTTAGGTTCTGCACGTAGCCCAGACCTGAAGCAAAGTGCCCTTGCAGAGAAAAAAATAACAGCTTGAATTCACAGATTTGGTTGGTCTTGACCTCAAATTCTTCCTTTGCCACAGTCTAAATCAGGGTATGAGGCTAGAGGACAGATAATGAGAGACTGAATCATTTATGAAGGCCTTGGCCAAAGAGCAGCTAGTGCCCACTACATGGACCCCAGTAGGGCCAAATTCTCAACTTGTTGACTTACCAAAAGAATGAAAAAGCTCAAACAGAAAACATACTGGACAAGGTTGGTCTAGAACATGCAATCCTAAATGGCTATGGAAGAAATTTATTCTAAGCAATATCTCAGTCTCACACTCACTAAAGGGTAGTTCTATCAGGGAGATGTTTACCATGGTTTAGTGCACCGAGCTCTCCACCGCTCCCCAGGCTGCCAGGGAGGCAGAGAGGTACATACATTCCTAATGCCCCAGCCAGCCTGTTCTCCCTACTGGGTCCCTGGATTACCTGCAAGGACCTGGGGAAATTGGCTCCCTGTCTTCAGCTGAGAGTCTGGAATCTGAACCCTAGATGAATCCCCTATAGAATGCTCAAGATGATGGATACCAAGCTGAGTGAGTCTAGGGGAGAAGAGAGGCCTGAATAAAAGAGCTGGGGCCTTCAAAGAGGTGTATGGGAGGTGAGGTTAGTAGTGTCAGGCTTTCCTATCCTTTCCTTCTAGTTTGCTTGAAACAAGTACAACTTTAGGGTATGGGGGGAAGGCGGGTAGACATGAAAAAATGGAAATACAGTTCATTCTGCTAGACAGTTTTCATTTTAAACTGGTTTGGCTTGAGAAAAATAGAAAGTCTGTGCCTGAGAACCTTCTTTTCCTCTCCCTTATTTAAGTACAATAGCAGCTATAATCTGTGCAGCTCGGCTCCAAAAAACAGGGCTCCTGGAAGATGGCTTTCATGGCAGAGAGTTGATGGGGTAGAATTAATGGGCTCTAGGTAAGGAGGAATACCAAGGGTGTCTGAAAACTGAGGTCAACACCTGCTCCCTGGGGGTGCCATTTGTGTTCCCTGACCCATGTAACAAGACTGGCCAGCAGTGGGTGGAATCCATGTGGTTCTATCAGAAGGTTGCAGCCAACATCAAGGCCAGGCAGTCACTGGGGTCAGCTGGCATCTGAAGGCAGGCTTCTAAGACCAGAGACCCTGTTAGTACTAAAGATGATAATTTGGGAGTGGGATGCCTGGAGCGGCTGGCACTGTTCAAAAAAGTATTTGAACATATTAGTCAAGAAAAGGGCTCCTTGTCCCTCCTAATCCATATCTAGATACCCCTAACCAGAGATCTTAAAAAGGATAGACCAGCCATATGCCAACATGCCAGGATTCCAAAAGCATGCCTCAACTAATTAGGGTATTCCCTACAGCAGACTGGGGTAGGGGGGCTCCATCCTGGCAATAACCAGAGAGCCTTAGCTCGCTTAGGCCAGGGTCTGGAATCTAGATGGAGACTGCCCACAAACAGTGGCTCTCAAGCCTGGGCTAAATAAATAATATTTTGCTTCATTACATGGCCAAAGGAAAGGGGGAGATAGAAAAGATGGTATTACTGACTCTGTGGGCTGGAAGAACTTCACCTGTTGGTTGAAAGCGTTGATTAAAGGAAGATAACAGCAAAACCTGCTCTGGAGAAGACATAAATGAAAACTCCTAGAGGCCACTTTTCTCTGATGAGAAATCTAGCCTCACACTCTGCCCCCAGTAGACTTTAGCCTTTGGAGCTCTTAGGGAAAACTGGCTTTAAGCAGCAACCAGATAACCAAAAAAATTTTCCATCTGGTACAGGACCCGGAGCTGAAGCCAAAGCAGATTTTGGAGGAACAGCTGGGCAAGCAGGATGTGTATGTCTTACACTAAGAATCTGGTCCCAATATCAGGGACTTAACTGTTATTTGAGATGTACAAAGTAGATCCTACTAAATTGCCCTTTGGATGAGAACAATGGGAGGAGGTTGGGTGGGGGAGGGCTTTTTTTTTTTTTTTTTCAACTGTAAGAGAATGGTTTTGTAATGGAGGTAGCAGGCCAAGTGAAAAAACGATTCTGCCCCCCGCCTTCCTGGGAGATTGGGAATTGGCAGCCATCATTCCCAAGCTGATGAGTGGCATCTGACTCACCAAGGTGGTACAACATGGGTGTGATTTTTTCAGGGACAATTGCCAGCCCTAAACTATCCTCCTCAGAAAATGGCTTTGAAGTGGGACTGCAGCACTAAGTACCAGCAATAAGTACCTGAACTTTAGGTCTATAAGCAGAAGGGCGTGGATTTCACCTGAGCCAGGAGATGTGTAGCAATAGAAGCAAGAATGGTATTGTTTCAGAGGAAGGAAAAGCAGAGCTTGGAGCTGGATGCCTCTTGACTAACCATAGTGGGGAGGTTGGGGTGGGGCGGACTGTGCCTTCAGCTCCACAGCTGGTCTACACCAACTTCCTCTACTCCCATCCAAACAGGTGGGCTTCACTATCACATGTAATCCACCCAGAGGCACAGGCAAGCCACTGAGGCAATGCACTACTGTAATTCAAACAGAAAGAAAAGGCATCTGGATTATAATCGTCACAAGGAAGGGAAAACCTAAACCAGGAACAAGGATCCCAAACAGGGAAGATAAGCAATAGCTCTTAAGAAAAAAAAAAAAAAGCAGGCTACTAAGTTTCAGTGATAATAGATAATAGGAGAGGCAGCCATGGGTGATTGGTTATGTGGACAATGGCCACTGAGATTGAATTTGACAAGGCAAACTGCTTCTGAGTTTCCTGGTACAAGCAGGATGTTCAGCAGTAAAGACAGAGTAGCAGACTTCACTAGGCCCTGAGGCCATCCTTGCTCCCTTCAGGTCCTGGGACAATCAGGCCACGCTGACCTGCTTTATGAAGGTTCCAGAGTTGAAGGTTGGTCCCAGGTGGTGGTCCAGAATCCAAGCAGAGAGGAAAAGGACCAAGCTCAGGCCTCCTGAGCGAGGAAGCATCCACATCTCTTTTTGGTCTTCCTCACAGTATCCTACTTACAGAAATGACAGACAGTTCTTCCTCTTGAGACCAATTAAGATTGACCTACCTAATATATAGAATATAAAAAAATACAGAACTTTTTGACATTCTCTCCTTTAGAAGTAAAATATACATGATCCAACTATGGAAGAGGAAGAAGAAGAAAAGGCCAAAGGCAGGGATCCCTGACTATCCCAATACATGACACTCTCACTCCAACCTCCTCTGCAGCTTACAGGTCACCAGAGCAGGGACTTTCTCCTCAGGAGAGAGGAAGGACCACAGCCCCCTATCTCAAGCTTAGGAGAAAATACAGCCACCTCAGAGGTTCTCTAAACCCCGAGTGGGAATTTTCAAGTAAACAAATGAAGTTGGGTCGCACCATTTGGAAGGTGAGTAGGAAATATGGGATCAGTAGCTATACGTGGGAAGCCCCATGTGAAGGCCTGTGCTCCTCCCCTGCACTCCCACTGGTGTACTTGAGACACTCCAGGAGAGTGAGGAGGATCTCCCAAACTAAAGAGGTCTGGGCAAAGAGTCAGAGGGAAGGAGGGACCTTTGTTTCATGGTAGCCTCCCCATCAGCCTAGTCTAGTCCCAGGCAATGCAGGCAGCTGGGTTTATTAAAACCAGGAACTCGTGGCTCTTGGGAAGAGCAATCTTAATACAAGAAAAATGTGCAAAAGAAAAAATTAAATAACTCAATCCAAGCGTACAAGATTAATATTCTGTCAGAGCAAGAACACTTTGTTTTGGGTTTCTCCCTTCCCCTCCCACCTCCCACCTCTGGAATATACCGTCTGCTCAAGTACCCAAGATAAGAGTTACACAGATCAGGGCAGAGGACTGGGAAGAATGAAAAAAGATAAAGGGAAGGAAGTCACCACTGAAGAAAAAAAGAAAAAAGATAAAAATAAAAAAAGGTGCAAATTGATTACCTTAGTCCTCCTTTGTCTACCCCTGGGCTCCTGGGTTAAAGACATGTGTGCAGCCAAAATATAGTGTAAGGAAGAAAAACCCAACACGTCCCCTTCTTGTCACAAAACCCAAAGGTGAGCCTCAGATGGTTCTGTCTGTCCAGAGGGTGCTCCCTCCAGGGAAGGGGGTGGAGCAGGTCAAGAGCACAGTCTCCAGGGCAGCAGAGGTGTGTGGTGGCTGATGGTGGGGACACTGCTTTCCCGCCCACCAGGGGCTGCTCTTCCGCTGGCTGGTGGTGCTTCCCATCCCCTCCCCTCCCCGGAGGCAGATATTATAGCTGGAAGCCCTCCATGGGGGCCTCAGGCTGCTGGAAGATGAACTGCTGTTGCGTTTCATCCACTTGGGGAGCCAGGCTGCTATCATCGTCTTCTACACCAAAGTAGTGCTCAATGAGGTCGAAGGCCTTCTGGTAGATTTCTTGGTTCTCATGGCTCTGGAGAAACTCAATTTTATCCAAGCCTACAATAGTAAGAAGGAAAGAGAGGGAAGTGTGAGTGCTTTTCTATGGGCAGGTGAAACATTTACCTATTTTTCCTTCCATGAGGTATGTTAGTGCTTACAAACACAAGTTCATATGATCAGATCACTCTTGGACCTGAAAGAGGAGAGTTAAGATTTCTTCTCAAAACTACAGAATCCCAAAGGAAAGAGACCAAAATGTCAGTTACAGAGATTCTAGTCCTGATTCTGCTTTAAACTAGGTACATGACCTGGGCAAATCATCAGCCTCTCAGGGATGAGTGATGAGTCAATCCAGCACTCTTATAGGTACAACCTATCAGAAAGAGAACTTATCTATCGCTCCTTAGAAGGAGAAGAAACTGGTGGGAGACAACGCTGAACTCAAAAGATGAGCCAAGTCCAAATCCTAACTGTACCCCAGCTACTCAGTTCATCCCCGTTATACTCATGGTAACATCTGAAACCCTGTGATGGTTAAACTTGGCTAGGACAGGAGCTCTTAACTGTTCTGGAGACACAGACGTCAGTCTCATGGAAGCTATGGATGCTCCCCAACCCACACTCTGCCACCACCAACATATGTATACCACGTTGGAGGCCTAGTCTCAGGTTCTGACCTAGATTGAGGAGAGGGCACATACCATAGGCTTCCTCTATGAGGCCACAATAGGGATTGACCCCTGAGCCACTGCGTTTGCCCTCTTGCTCTCCAAGTCGCAGGATGTTCTCCAGTCCATTGAGGGCCACTTGCACAATCTTCGAATCCATTACAGTCAGCAAGTCACATAGGGGTTTGATGCAGCCCAGTGAGACCAGGTACCTAGGGGCCAGAGACCAGGCAAGTTCTAAACTAGTACAGGACAAATGAAGTGCTGGGCAGGTACTCTGCACTCTCACCAACTCACTCTTACTATTTTTTTATTTTTAAGAATTGTGCAACACCTCATTCCACACCAGAGAATGAGAGTCTTCCCCAACTAAGTCTTTTTTTTTTTTGAGATGGTCTTGCTCTGTCACCCAGGCTGGGGTGCAATGGTGCGATCCCAGCGCACTGCAGCATCAAACTCCTGGGCTCAAGTGATCCTCCTGCCTCAGCCTCCCAAACAGCAGTGACTACAGGTGTGTGCCATCATTCTCAGCTAATTTTATTTTTTATTTTTTGTAGAGACAAAGTCTCATTATGTTGCCCAGGCTGGTCTCAAATTGCTGGTCTCAAGTGATCCTCCCACCTTAGCCTCCCAAAGTGCTGGGATTATAGATGTGAGCCACTGCTCTTACTGAGCCTTGATAACTGCTTATCCTTTCTCTATCTCTCTACCTTCCTGTTGATATTGGTCTAGTTCATTTCACATGTGGATGCTACCAAACATTCCTCCTCCTTGCCTCTAATGTCTCCTTAGCTGCAACATTACCCCTCTGAACATATCACTTCCCTGCTTAAAATTTTTCACAGGCTCCCTATTTCCCTGAATTCCAAATTCTGTGGCACAACAATACCATAATACCACAAGCCCAGCCCAGCCTGGATGCCCTGCAATCTGGCTCCCAGTTCTTTTCAAGCTCTGCCTCCAATTATTCCCTTCCAAGGACAATACATTCTAGTCACACTTGTAAAGGTCTCCAGGTTTCTGATTCTTGTACCTTTATTTATGCTTTTCCCTAAGAGGCCTTTTATAATCCCATATTTATCCTTCAAAGCTTAACTCAACAGCTATCTCTTTTCTCCTAAGGCTTTACGTATACTGACTATGCTCCCCTTAACAGGCAACAGGTGAAGGGCAAGACACCTATCTATTCCCACCACTTCCCACTAATGTTCGGATAATGGAAACTAAAATAAAAGAGTACACAGGCCTGGTGCTTCATGCTTGTAATCTCAGCACTTTGGGAAGCTGAAGTGGGAGCATCACCTGAGGTCAGGAGTTCAAAACCAGTCTGCTAACATGGTGAAACCCCGTTTCTACTAAAAATACAAATAATTGGCTGGGTGTGGTGGCACACGCCTGTAATCCCAGCTACTCAGGAGGCTAAAGCAGAAGAATCGCTTGAACCCGGGAGGCAGAGGTTGCGGTCTCAAAAAGAGTACACATACACAAAATAGCTTTCTATTAGCTTCTTTCAAGTCTCATACCCCAAATTAATTTCCCAAAGAAGCTGCTTTTTTGTTTGAGAGAGGACCTTGCTCTGTGGCAAACGCTGGAGTATAGTGGCATCATCACAGCTTATTACAGCTGTGACCTCCTGGGCTCAGGTGATCCTCCTGCTTCAGCCTACTGAGTAGCTGCGGCCATAGGCACACACCACTACAACCTGCTAATTTTTACATTTTTGTATACATGAGGTGTCCCTATGTTGCCCAGGCTAGTCTTGAACTCCTGGGGTTTAAAGGATCCTCCTGCTTCAGCTTCCCAAGGTGCTGGGATAACAGACATGAGACATCACACCAGCTTGCTTGTTGGTTTTTTTTTTTGGACACACTCTGGCTCTGTCACTCAGGCTGGAGTGCAGTGGTACAATCACAGTTCACTGCAGCCTTGACCTTCCAGGCTCAAACCATCCTCCCATCTCAGCTGGGACTACAGGCACATGCCACCATGCCCAGCTAATTTTTGTATCTTTTGTAGAGATAGAGTCTTCTTATGTTGGCCAGGCTGAAGAAACTGTTTTGAGTGAGCCACAGCACGGTTCCCCTTCATTTGTAGAAATAATTGAGAACTACATAGATTTCAGTTCTCTGTTGGATAGGAAAAGGTAGAGAAAAGATGGATACCCATGTCATGTTTCTCTTCTCCAGAAGGGAAAACTGGTAAATTGCTACAGTGTCACTAGAATCTCCAATAGATTCCCACATGGCTTACATGGAATCTATTCCAGATTCTAGTGACACTGTAGCAGTTTACCAGTAAAATTCTATTACATCGAGACTAGGGGGCAGACCTGTCTGAGCAAGAGCAGTTTATAGGTCACCTATAAACCAGGAGCAAACAGGGAGAGCATCCATATCATTCAAGACAATGGGAAAGGAATGTAATACCTGATCTGCTCAGGGGTTCCTCCTGATGTGGCATTGGTGATGGCCCAGGCTGCCTCTTTCCTTGTACGAAACTCTGCTTTCTGAAGGATTTCGATCAACACAGGGAAGATATTTGCATCTATAACAGCCTGAGAGAGGATTGAGGGGAGGCAGATGGAAAGAAAAAGTCATTTCAGGATGATAAATAAATCTAGTCCCCAAATCAGCTAAGACTTAGTCATCTTCCCCATTCTGGGAGTTTTCTTTTGTTCTTCCTATATAGGTGACAGGCTACTACAGAAGAACCCAGTTTTGGTTACACAGCTTCTTTGACCAATAGTACACGTTGATTCCAATTTCTTTCTTTTTTTTTTTTTTTCTGAGACAGAGTTTCGCTCTGTCGCCCAGGCTGGAGTCCAGTGGCGCGATCTCGGCTCACTGCAAGCTCTGCCTCCCGGGTTCATGCCATTGTCCTGCCTCAGCCTCCCGACTAGCTGGGACTACAGGCACCCGCCACCATGCCTGGCTAATTTTTTTTTTTTTTTGTATTTTCAGAGACAGGGTTTCACCATGTTAGCCAGGATGGTCTCGATCTCCTGACCTCATGATCCACCCACCTCGGCCTCCCAAAGTGCTGGGATTACAAGCATGAGCCACTGTGCCTGGCCCCTCTTTTTTTTTTTGGAGACAGAGTCTCGCTCTGTTGCCCAGGCTAGAGTACAGTGGCGAGATCTCAGCTCACTGCAATTTTTGCCTCCCGGGTTCAAGCGATTCTTCTGCCTCAGCCTCCCGAATAGCTGAGATTACAGGTGCCCGCCACCACACCCATCTAATTTTTGTATTTTTAGTAGAGATGTGATTTCACCATGTTGGCCAGGCTGGTCTCAAACTCCTGACCTCACGATCCGTCCGCCTCAGCCTCCCAAAGTGCTGGGACTACAGGCATGAGCCAACGTGCCTGGCCAATTGACTCCAATTTTTAAAGGGAAACAAATTCTTTCTTCTGAAAGCAAATATTCCAGCAACCTCCCATGTTCCTATGACTTCCCATGCCCCTTGACTTCCCTGCCTATTTTACCTGTATTTGAGCCCTGTTGCCAGCAGTAATATTTGAAATAGTCCAGCAAGCTTCCTTTCGGATTGACTCCTTGGGACTGCTCAACAAGTGGAGAAGGCAAGGTAGGGCTGAACAGTTAAGAATGACCTAGAACACCAAAAGCATAGGAAACAAAAGAAAAATTAGATAAACTGTTTTTAATTTTTTAAAATGTTTTTCTTTCCTTTTTTTTTTTTTTGAGACACAGTCTTGCTCTGACGCCCAGGCTGGAGTGCAGTGGCACAACCTCAGCTCACTGCAACCTCCGCCTCCCAGGTTCAAGCGATTCTCCAGCCTTAGCCTCCTGAGATGCTGGGATTACAGACGCCCACCACCATGCCCGGCTAATTTTTGTATTTTTAGTAGAGATGGGGTTTCATCAAGTTGGCCAGGCTGGTCTCGAGCTCCTGACTTTAGGTGATCTGCCTGCCTCGGCCTCCCAAAGTGTTGGGATTACAGGCGTGAGTCACAGTGCCTGGCCTAATTTTTTTTCTTGAAACAGGGTCTAGCTCTGTTGCCTAGGCTGGAGTGCAGTGGCATGATCACAGCTTACTGCAGCCTTGACCTCCCAGTCTCAAGCAATCCTCCTACTTCAGCCTCTTGAGTAGTTGGGGACTCCTGAGTAGCAGGGTGCCACTGCACCCTGCTAATTAAAAAAATAAAATAAAATTTTTTTTGTAGAGACAGGGTCTTCCCATGTTGTAGGGCTGGTCTCAAACTTCTGGGCTCAAGTGATCCTCCCGCCTCAGCCTCCCAAAGTGCTGGAATTACAGGCGTGAGCCACCGCACCTGGCCCAGGTAAACTGGACTTAATCAAAATGAAAAACTTTTGTGCATCAAGACATTGGAGTAAGCTGGGCACAGTGGTATGCTCCTGCAGTCCCAGCTACTCAGGAGGCTGAGGCAGTAGGATCACCTCAGCACAAGAGTTCAAGGCCAGCCGGGGCAACATAGTGATACACTCTAAAAAAAATTTTAAAAAGAAAAGAAAGTGGGTCTGGGCGAGGTAGCTTCATGCCTGTAATCCCACCACTTTGAGAAGCCAAGGTGGGAGGATTGCTTAAGCCCAGTAGTTCAAGACCAGCCTGGGCAACATGGTAAAACCCTGTCTCTCCAAAAAAACCAATTCAAAAAATTAGCTAGGCGTGATGGTGCATGCCTGTAGTACCAGCTACTTGGGAGGCTGAGGTGGAAGGATTGCTTTGAGCTCAGGAGGCAGAGGTTGTAGTGAGCCGAGATGGCAACATTGCACTCTAGCCTGGGTGACAAAGAGAGACTCGGTCTCAATTTTTAAAAATTAAATAAATTAAGAAGTTTTTTTTTTAAAGACACCAAAGTTACAAGATAAAACCACAGAACAAGAGAAAATATTTGCGAAACATGTATCTGATAAGAGATTAATATCCAGAACATATGAAGAACTCCCAAAATTGAACAACCAGAAAACTCAACAACCCAATTAAAACATGAGCAAAGGACTTGAATAGATATGTGTCCAAAAAAAAAGAAACAACAAAAAACAAAAAACAAAAAAACACAGATGGCCAATAAGCATATGAAAAGATGCTCAACATTACTAATCATTAGAAAAATGCAAATAAAAACCACAATGAAATATCACTTCACACCCTTTAGGGTGAGTATTGTAAAAAAAAAAAAAAAAAAAAAAAGAAAGAAAAACGGAAAATAACCGTTGATAAGGCTGTGGGGAAGCTGGAACATGATGCATTGTTGGTGAGAATGTAAGATGGCATAGCAGCTGTGCAAAACAGTACGGTGGTCCCTCAAAAAAATTAAGCATAAAATTAGAACATGATCCAGCAATTCCATTATGGGTATATACCCAAAAGGACTGAAAACAGGGACTTGAACAAATATTTGTACACCAATGTTCATAGCAGCATTATTCACAATAGCCAAAAGGTGGAAACAACCCAAATGTCTACAGATGGATGAATGGATAAATAAAATATGGTATATACACACAGTGGAATATCATTCAGCCTTACAAAGGAGTTCTGATACATGCTATGACATGGATGAATCTTAAAGATACTAGGCTAAGTGAAATAAACCAGACGAGAAAGAATAAATACTGTATGATTCCACTTACATGAGGTACTTAGAGCACTCAAACTCACAGAGGCAGAAAATAGAATGGTGTTTACTAGGCACTGAGGGGAAGGGAGAATGGGGAGTTATTGTTTAATGTGTACAGAGTTTCAGTTTGAGATGATAAAAAAATTCTGTAGCTGGCTAGTGGTGATGACAGAGAAGAAATGTGAATGTACTTTATGCCAATGAAATGGTTAAAATGGTAAAATTTATGTTGTATTTTAAAGTACATGCATATACATATACAAAGTAACCCAGAAAATGAGTGTGTGGGTTTGAGGGTTTGAGTGAGACTACTCACCTGTAAAAAACCTGTCCAGAACCCCACAGAATTATGCCAGCTACTCAAAACCCAAAGAATACCCAAATCTCTAGCCTTTGAGCAGGCGAACCTTGTTTACTATGCCCTCACCAGAGGGGCTATTTACAAAAGATTAATCCAAGGTCCATGATATCCATGAGACCCTAAAGATCTAGTAAGTAGGGGTGGAGTTCCATAGCTTTCAGTATCTCAAAGGGACCATGACTCAAACTTAACTATCTCACAATGTCCCAGGTGGTAAGCCCAATTATTCCATTTAGTTTTCCTTTACCCATTAGATGATGATTTGTTCCCAATTTATGGAAGAAAAGAAGGAACCAAGTTTCCCGTGACTGCTTAGAGAGTGACAGAGCTGGAACTTTTCACTCAAGCCTACACTTTCTTTCTTAGACCATAGTGCCTCCCATCAGGACCACAGCCCTTTGCAGGAAAGGCTTTTGTCCACAGGCAGCTCTCCACAAGCTCTTCCATAGCTGGTCTAAGATCCTACACCCTCCTCTTTCTTACCTGGGTCTGGATGTCATCCCCAGTGACGATGTTACCCACGGCTCTCAGGGCAGGAGAAGCCACTTTGTAATCATTGTGCCTACAGAGGAGGGAGATCTGATCAGCAGAAGGCCAGCACACCATTTTCGGCCCTGCTGACTCTTATCTCTTTAGTCTGAGCCCAGAGAAGCTTAAGAGACCTATCCTCTTTTTTCTTTTATTTTTTTTTGAGACGGAGTCTTGCCCTGTCGCCCAGGCTGGAATGCAATGGAGTGATCTCGGCTCACTGCAACCTCCGCCTCCCAGGTTCAAACGATTCTCCTGCCTCAGCCTCCCGAGTAGCTGGGATTACAGGTGCCTGCCAGCACACCCAGCTAATTTTTGTATTTTTAGTAGACACAGGGTTTCACCATGTTGGTCAGGCTGGTCTCAAACTCCTGACCTCGTGATCCGCCCGCCTTGGCCTCCCAAAGTGCTGGGATTATAAGCGTGAGCCACCGTGCCTAGCCAGAACCTGTACCCTTTGTAAGATCACTCACATCAGCAGCTCTACCAATCTCCGGCAGACTCCGGAGTCTATGACTGCCTGGATCTTCTCATTGGGTCCATCAGACAGATAAGAAAGGGCCCAGCAAGCATCTGCCAGCAAGTCTGAGTCGCTGCTGAAGAGTAGGCGAGACAGTACAGGCAAACAAGGAGAGACCTGTGGGAAGCGGAGTGAGAAAGAGTCATAGGGGGACAAGACTATATCAGCTCTATCATGAACCCTAACACTGCAACCACCCCCGCTCTCAACACACACAAAGTAATTCCAGACCCTAGGGATCGCTACTACGTTAAACATTTAGATCTACCTTTTCACTTTACTATCCAGGCACACAAGATCATCTACTTCACTAACAATTGCTTCTTTCAGTTTCCCACGATTTGAGACTCCAGGGAGTATCCCAAAGACTTAAAAACTCCATATGAAGGAACCTGATGTCACTCGGGGTCTAGTAAGTAGCTCTCTCACCTTTGCAAACTCTGGGGGTGGGTTCTTCCCTCGGCAGAGATTTGACAGGGCCCAGACCGCATTCCGTGTCATTGTCAGTCGTGTGGACTTGGTAAGGAGTCTGAAGGAAACAGCAAAGCCAGATCCTGAGCACTAAGGCCTTGGCATAGGGCTGTTGCCAATGAACCCAGAGACAAATCCAATCAGACTTCTCAGACTCTAGCAGCCTGTTTCTTCCTACTCATAGACCTAAGTTAATAGAGCTGGTATTAGTCAGAAGGCCAACCTCTATACAGAGTATTCATTTCAGGACCAGCTGTAGCTAGTTAATACCATAGATAATAGGGACAAAACAGAGGGCTAGATCTCGAGTAAGCCTATAAAGCTTCTAAGGTAGGATATATCGTGCCCATAACCCTGGCCACAAGTCCAGGACAAGGAATGGTGTTCCCTGAAAATAAAAGCTAAAAGTCTAAGAAATAAAAGCTATAGGTATACTGTGAGAGTTTTAGCCACACAGTATGGAATAATTTTCTGTGAAGGGTCCAAGAAAGTGATAGTGGTAGGCTATGAGACTGTGGTCTCTGAAGAACAGTTCATTCATCTGTTTTGGTTTAGACATAGTTTACTCTAAGGGCATGGAGGGAAGGATGGGAGAGGGATACAATGACACTTTATGGGGTCTTTGATCTATAATTTACAACAGAGCCGTCCAATGTATGTATGCATGACCTCATAGCAAATCAATGCATTTTGTAGAGAAGGTTGGATTTTTCCAGATGGGCTAGTCCTGCCTCTCTCCCCTGGCTCAACAATGAGGAGGATATGAGGGTATGACTAAGATGAGGTTATGCAGTGCCATGAAGTGAGAAACAACATCTTTCTTGGCAGACGGGTGGCACAATCTTTTTTTTTTTTTTTCCCACTCTGTTGCCAAGGCTGAAGTACAATGGTATGATCATAGTTCACTGTAGCCTTGATCTCCCTGGGCTCAGGTGATCCTCCTTGCCTCAGCCTCCCAAGTAGCTGGGTCTACAGGTGCGTGCCACCACACCTGGCTAACTTTTTGTATTTTTTGTAGAGCTGGGGTTTCACCACATTGCCCAGGCTGGTTTTGAACTCTGGGCTCAAGGGATGCACCTGCTCTGGTCTACCAAAGTGCTGGGATTATAGGCATAAGCCACCATGCTCGGCCACAACCTTCTCAATCTCCAAAGATACCTATCTTTTACTTTGGCAATCAGAATGCATTTTTATAGTTTTCGTACTTACCTATCATCTTAAGGAATCAAGTATGCTGCCCCCAAATGACCTGCCACATGGCCACCCTATAGACACCCAGGTACAGATTATTATAATTACTCACGTTAACAAAGGATTAAGGATGGAACAGTTCAAGACGTAATCTCGGCAAACAGAGCTATCTCCAGCTATGTTTCCCAGTGCCCAGACTGCCTGAAAAGGGGATAATGAAACTGTCACCCACAAAGCCTGGTACTTCTGTGAGTACTTTATAGTCACAACTGCAAAGTGAGTACCCACCAGGATGAGGATGATGTCAAGGCCCCAAATACACTATATAAGCTCAGGTAACCTCCCTATTGAAATCCTTATTGAGCACTTGTTCTACAAGGACCTATCCCCTGGGAGTTCCTGGTTCAGCCGGGAGAGACAGGCTGCCATCTGTACTGTAGGCAAAGAAGCCAAAACAACATCACCCAGAAAAGGAGAAAGTAATCAAAAAGTTGCATTTTTTTGAGATGGAGTCTCGCTGTGTTACCCAGGCTGGAGTGTAGTGGTGCCATCATGGCTCACTCTAACCTCCACCTACCGGGTTCAAGTGATTCTCCTGCCTCAGCCTCCTGAATATAGGCGTGCGCTACCACAACCAGCTAATTTTTTGTATTTTTAGTAGAGATGGGGTTTCACCATGTTGGTCAGGCTGGTCTTGAACTCCTGACCTCGTGATCTGCCCACCCTGGCCTCTCAAAGTGCTGGGATTACAGGCATGAGCCACCGTGCCTGGCGAAAGTTGCACTCTTGTAGTTGCCTTGGACCAACTCTATATGTAGTAATGGAGGAGAGTGCCCACTACCACTCTTCAATTCTATCCAACTAGCAAGAATTCAATGGGAGAAATGGAAGTTGTACCTTTATCTCCATGATCTCTGGGTACTGAGATATGGGTACTGTGGTGTCTTTTTTCCAATGGCACTTCCAACAACAAATGTATAGAGTTTTTTCCACATCAACCACCCATTCTCTGACACAAACCGTGTGTCCAACAATTTAATTCAATTCTGACACTAACACCTAGAGTTAATGTAGACCTCACAGGTTAGTTCCACAAGACTGCCCCCACTTGAGATACCAGTTGCAAGTCCCAGGGACCATCTGTACTTGATACTCCTATCGCTCAGGAAATTCCAAGAGTTTTAACACTGTGCCAAGAACCAGGACAAAGACCAAATACATTTTTTATTATACCACAGGTACTATAAAGAATCATACCAAATCTAAGCATTACCTGTTCCTGAACATCCTCAAAGTCTGAATTAAGCAGCTCTATAAAAATGGGGACAGCCCCTGCTTCAATGACAATTTTGGTCTGCTGAGAGGTTCCAGAGGCAATATTCGTTAGAGCCCAGGCAGCTTCAAACTGAAAGTGAGATTAAGCAATGATTGAAAGGTCATTTCAGACTGAGCAGCCATGCCTATCAGCTGGCTCAGAACAGTAAGCCTCCTGCCCATGAATTTAAAAAAACAAAAACAACCTCACAAAACACAAGCCAGCCTCTTGCCTACGAATTTAAAACACACACACACACACACACACACAAAATACAAGCCTTTCCCCTCCCGTCTTTAGAGAGTGGGAAGATGCAGTGATGTGATATACATGGGAATAAGACATTGGGCTTCTAGGGTCCCAGGTTTAGTCCTGCACTACCACAGAACACATGCATCCTCCATGTGCCACTTTTTTTTTACCTTGAGTCTCTACTTTTCTTCATTTTTTCTGAAATAGGATTTAGATACCTGATATATGTGATCTCTCAAAGTCCTTTCAGTTTCCGAATTTTCTGGCAATTTTCCAACGATGGACCCATCACCTCATCGCTCTGAACAAGAGTACCTTGGTGCTTATCTCGAGAGAGGCTAAACGACTTTGCCTTCTGGGATACACAGGGTTAGGACATTGAGTTACCTTCTTTTCGATTTTTTTTTATTGAATTTTAATTGATCTAGTTTTCTTGTTTCTCTATTCATACGTCTTTGTTTCCTTTCCTTTGAATAGTTGCTGTTTTTAAGTTTATAGATATTTTGTCCTGTGCGAGTTGGCGAATCTATGTTCTCCTGAATGTTCTTTTTTTTTTTTTTTTTTTTTTTTCTGAGGGAGTCTCGCTCTGTCCGCCCAGGCTGGGAGTGCGAGTGGCGATCTCGTCTCACTGCCATTTTGTTGTTTGTGTTGGTGAAGCCCCCCATCACCGGGTCTTCCGCCATTTCCTTGCCTCAGACGCTCCCGAGTAGCGGGACTACAGGCCCGCCGCCACCACGCCGGGCCCTAATGTTTTTGATTTTTAGTAAGACGGGTTTCACTGTGTTAGCCAGATGGTCTCGATCATCGCTGACCCTCGGGATCGCACCGTCCTCGCCTTCCCAAGTCAGTGCGATTACCAGCTTGGCCACCGCGGCTCCAACCTGGCCATTCTACTGAATGTTTTCTAACATTTACTTGTATAACTTGTTTCTTTTTGACTCCGAGAGATATGTCAATAAGAAACATTGCTTCACACATTATTTCTTGGAATAGGTTGGTTCTTCAACTATAGCCCCTTCCCAGTAGTGGGGGGTTGAAGGGTGCGGTTGTTTGTGGGATATGTTATATATCTGGGTTACATTAAATGACTCGTCAGAAATGTAATAACTCAAGACTCTACATTGATAACCACACACATATGTGTTGATTCTATACTGTCTATACTACATAACCTAGCCACATAGGGAACACCTAACCCTTAATAGGCATAATGGATTTGTTTGTAACTAAAGGATAAATGGCTGAGGAAATGGCATACCCCATTCTCCACATGATTTTTTTGCTATTCAATGGCACCTGTCTCAATTACATCATCCATTGATCTTTTCCTATAAATATATATTCATCTCTTATCTTCTTTCTGTTACTCTCTTCACTCAAATAATAAGATCAATAATTTTTTCATTATACAATTTTATATTCCTCAAATCCCCTCTTTCCCTTTTCTCAGTCTTTATGCTCATCCTGGGTATATCGTTATCAATTTCTATTTCCCTTTGTCTTCTTCTCATCGAAACCTCCACGAACCTGATTTCGATTTTCCTTTAACTTCTTTATTATATTATCTTTTTCTATTGCTATTGATTGTACCTTAAGTTCTCTTGGATATTAGTTGGGTTAGAAGGAAAATAAAAATTGCAGGAATTTAAGCTTTTGCTGATCTTCTTTCATTTTTGGGTTCTGTTGTCCTGTATTTTTTCTATTCTCTCTAGAATTTTCTTGTTTCTTGGACCACCGTTTTTTTCTTTTTTTTTTTGTTGCTGTTGTTTTTTTTTTTTTTTTTTTTTGTTTTTTTTTTTTTTTGTTTTTTTTGTTTTTTTTTTTGTTTGTTTTTTGTTTTTTGTTTTTTTTTTTCTTCTCTTACATAATCATTTTCCCATACTCCCTTTTCTGTATATTTCATGTTTTTGTGGGTTTTAACAATATCTTTTTTTCTTTGTTGTCGGTTCCTTTTTGTTTTTGCGGCCGCTGGTGGCTTTCATAGCCTGTCAATTCTTTTTTCTCCAGTCACTTTTGGAGGTCTGATTTACTTGGTGGTTTTTATTTCTTATCTGATGGTTCTAGTTTGTAGATCGTACGTACCTTTTTATTCTTTGCTAACACTTGTTGTGATTTCCATCTTTTTCCGTCTCAATCTGTTTTCATAGTATTAAATTATTCATTAAAATTACTAATCCGGTTGTGCTGATTTGTCTGTTGTTTGTGGCTGTTTATCGTTGTGCCGTTTAGTTGTTTTTTTCTCCATGTCGTTACTCGGTTTTCCGAGCTTAGTTGCAGGATATGATGGGGCGTAAACCCGGGAGGCGGAGCTTGCAGTGAGCTGAGATCCGGCCACAGCACTCCAGCCTGGGCGACAGAGCGAGACTCCGTCTCAAAAAAAAAAACAACAACAAAAAAAACACAATATCTGCTTGTCTTTGAACTGTATAATACAGTTGGAATGTTAAAGAGTAAAGCCAATCCTAATTTAAGTATGCTCATCTTTGGCTTACTAAATGTAAGCAAAAAAGGTGTGGGAGAGAAGAGTGCCTAAGGGATGAACAACCGTGGTCTACACATTTCCCTTTCGAGAAAGACCAGTATTCTCTTCTTGGGAAGACTATTTGATAACTGAAACGAGGTATTTTTCCTATCATACATTAAATTTTTATTAAGTACCTATGGTGTGCCACACAGTTCTAGGTACAAAGGACACAGGAGAGAACAAAAACAAAACTCTCTGCCCTCAGCTTACATCCTAGTGGGAAGAGTCATTTTATTATGTTAGAAGATAAATATGATGGGAGGAGAAGAGAAGAATATGTAGGGCAAGGTAGAAAGATAAAAATGTTGAAGTTAGGATTTAATCATAGGAGTAAGGGAGTTGCTACACAGATATCTGGGAATAGAAGACATCAGGCAGAGGAAATATCCAGTGTGAAGGTAGGAAAGTGTCTATCTCGTACAAGGAACACCAAGGTCAGTAGGGCTAGAGCAGAATGAGTGAGGGCACGTGTAGTTGATGACATTAGTGAAGAGAAAAGAGGCTAAATCATACAGGGCCTCTCTGAGAAGGGCCAGGCTTTGTACCTTTGGAGAGCAGTTTCCGGAATTTCTGTGTGGTTGCTAACTGCAGGTCAGAATCATCAGAAAAGAGCATCTCCACCATCTCTCTTGTGATCACACTCTCCTAGAACATAAAACAAGTTTAGAACTTTGCAAACCAACATTACAGTCAGATGTGAGCACATAATTCTGCTTGGCATCCTGTTTTCTAAAAAATTGAGGGCAAGAAGATGGCACAATAGACAGCCTCAGGAGAAGGGGTCTGTTTAATCGATAGGTGCTTCAAGTTGGGACATTTGAAAAGTGATTCCTAATTCTGAGGCAACTGATGGCTTCCCTTAAATGTTTCCTCAGATATTTCTAACACAGTTGAATCTCTGTTGACTTCTGAAGCTGACAAAAGGGTCCACAGAGGAAAGAACTTGTCATGGTTACTGACAAAGCTAGTAGATGATGTGAATGGCCCAATTTCTGTTCTTAGAAGTAGGTACTTTCCAGGTCAGCCTGAGGCACATGCAGGGGCCTTACCCCAGTGGTAGAGCTCACATAAGAGTCCATGAGAAGACTATCGAACATGGCAGCTTCTTCATTAATCAGCTCCACATTTCTCCGTTTAAAAAGCTGAAAGTAAAGAGACAGTGGTTAAGAGTACTCTCTGACCCAAAAAAAAAAGAACAATCCAATGTTAAATTATGGCATTAACTGACAAGGATATACTACAGTAGCTGAGAAATGAGGCCAAGTTTTATACATTAGTCTCCCCTTATCCACAGTTTTGCTTTCTATTATTTTAATTATCCAGTCAACTGTGGTCTGAAAATATTAAACAGAAAATTCCAGAAATGAACAATTCATAAGTTATAAACTGCATGCCATTCTGAGTAGTGATGAAATCTCATGCTATCCTGTTCTGTCTGGCCCAGGATGTAAACATCCTTTGTCCAGTGTATCCACTCCACACTGTATATGTTGCTGCCAATTAGTCACTTAGTAACCAACTTGGTTAGCAGGTGGCAGTTGCTCGTGTTCAAGTAACCCTTATTTTACTTAATAATGGCCCCAAAGTGCAAAAGTAGTGATGCTGGCAATTCAAATGTGCCAGACAGAAGCTGTAAAGTGCTTTAAGTAAAAAGATAAAAATATGGGAAAAAACATAGTATATGTAAGGTTCAGTAATATCTGCAGTTTCAGGCATCCACTGTGGGTCCTGGAATGTATTCCACAAAGAGAAGACGAGACTACCGAATACTGACATGAAAAAGATATTCAAGGACTTGGAGGCAGAGGCAGCAGTGGGCCAAGATCACGCCACTGTACACCAACCTGCGCAACAGGGCAAGATCCTGTCTTAAAAAAAAAAAAGAAAAAAAGGAATGATAGTACAGCAAAAGGGTGGGCAAAATCAGGTTAAGTTGGCCAGGAATGGTGGCGCATGCCTGTAATCCCAGCACTTTGGAAGGCCAGGGCAGGTGGATCACTTGAGTTCAGGAGTTCAAGACCAGCCTGGGCAACATGGCAAAACCCTGACTGTACAAAAAAAAAAAAAAAAAAATCCACAAAAATTAGCCGGGCGTGGTGGTACATGCCTGTAGTCCCAGCTACTCAGGAGGCTGAGGAGGAAGGATCACTTGAGCTCAGGAGCCTGTAGTGAGCTGAGATCGCGTCACTCACTGCACTCCAGCCTGGGTGATAGAGTGAGACCTTATCTCAAAAAAAAAAAAAAAATAATAATAATAATAACAATTGGGTGACTGAACCTGTTGGGAGGGTGGGGTGGGAGTGCAGATGATGAGGTAACAATATAGTCTTGGGCTGGGCACAGTGGCTCACGCCTGTAATCCCAGCACTATGGGAGGCTGAGGTGGGCAGATCTGGGCAGATCACAAGGTCGGGAGTTTGAGACCAGGCTGGCCAACATGGTGAAACCCAGTCTCTACTAAAAATATAAAAAGTTAACTGGAGGTGCTGGCAGGCGCCTGTAGTCCCAGCTACTCGGGAGGCTAAGGCAGGAGAATCGCTTGAACCCAGGAGGCAGAGGTTGCAGTGAGCGGAGATTCGTGCCCACTGCACTCCAGCGCTTGGGGACCAGAGCGAGAACTCCATTCTTCAAAAAAAAAAAAGAAAAGAAAAGGTAACAAGGAGCTAGAACTAGAATGTTATAGTAAAGACATAAATGATGTCTAAGTTGGTCTAACTTGTGAAAAGGGGATAAGGTCAGTTTTCTCTTTCTCAAAGCTCCCAACATTTATTGACAACAAAGGAATCTGGATGAGTAGCTCACTCAGTAAGTAAGCTACTTTTCTTTCTTTTTCTTTTTTTGAGATGGAGTTGCCCAGGCTGGAGTGCAATGGCACAATCTTGGCTCCTGCAACCTCCGCCTCCCAGGTTCAAGCAATTCTCCTGCTTCAGTCTCCCAAATAGCTGAGATTGCAGGTGCATGCCACCATGTCCGGCTAATTTCTGTATTTTTAGAAGAGAAAATGAAGTTTCACCATATTGGCCAGGCTGGTCTGGAACTCCTGACCTCAGGTGATCCGCCTGCCTTGGCCTCCCAAAGTGCTAGGATTACAGGCATGAGCCACCACGCCTGCCTAGTAAGTTGCTTTTCTACAGGGAAAGTCAGGGTGCACAGTGGAGGCCAACCACAGGGACTTGTTTCCCAGAATAGTATGTTTGAGAATACTCCCGTTAACTCACTTGTTGCTCACGCTTCTGCTTCCGGAGCTGAATGCCCTCTTCCTCTCTTCTTCGTCTCATTTCTTCAGGGTTTAGAGCATTGTTCTTATAGCTCTTCATTCGATAATTGTCTTTCCCTGGGCTCGCCATGGTCTCTAGAAGAAAAGATACACATTGCCAAAGACTCTTGAGAGGACAGCATTTCCTTTTCACTAGACTTCTGTCCCTACCCACCCTTCACCCTCCCCTACTCTGGGAGGAATACAGCTATCTAGGAGCTCTCAATAAGCACCTGACATCTCTACCTGCCCCCCAGTCCCTGTCTCATTTTATTACAATTAAGCTTGCTAAACAGGTGGTATTACAGCAATTGGTATAAGCTTAGTAGTTAAAAGTGTGGGCCCTAGAGTCAGATTGTCTGGGTTCAAATCCTGACCCTTCTACTTGTTAGCTGTGCAACCTTGGACAAACTCCTTTAACTTTCATTGCTTCAGAATTTAATCTTTAAAACAGAAACACACCAGGCACAGTGGCTCCCACCTGTAATCCCAAGGATCTGCAGACCACACTTTGAGAACTGCTGTTCTTTTTTTTTTTTTTTTTTTTTTTTTGAGACAGGGTCTCGCTCTGTCACCCAGGCTGGAGTGCAGTGGCACAATATTGGCTCACTGCAACCTCTGCCTCCCGGGCTCAAGTGATTCTCCTGCCTCAGCCTTCCGAGTAGCTGGGATTACAGGCGTACGCCACCACAACTGATTAATTTTTGTATTTTCAGTAAAGACAGGGTCTTACCATGTTGGCCAGGATGGTCTCAAATTCCTGACCTCAGGTGATCCACCTGCCTTGGCCTCCCAAAGTGCTGGGACTATAGGTGTGAGCAACCACACCCAGCCAAGAACTGCTGTTCTAAGGAATGAATGGCTCAATTGTAGGTAAATAAATGTTAACTTGACCAGCTAGTGCCAAAGTTGTCTTCCAATGTACTGCCACTGACATATATCTTGCCCAATACTTGGAATCATCACTTTTGACAATCTACTGAGTGTCATAAAGTATTTCACAGAGCTGATTATTTGCATATCCCAGATTACTAGTGAGGTTAGATTTCATGTTGTTATTAGCCATACATTTCCCCTTCCGTGAAAAATGTTTGTTTCTATATTTTAAAATAAATATTTTTCTTTCTTTTTTTGAGACAGTTTCACTTTTGTTGCCCAGGCTGGGGTGCAATAGCACGATCTTGGCTCACTGAAACCTATGTCTCCCAGGTTCAAATGATTCTCCTGCCTCACCCTCCCGAGTAGCTGGGACTACAGGAGCCTGCCAAGACATCGGCTAATTTTTGTATTTTCAGTAGAGACAGGGTTTTACCATGTTGGCCAGGCTGATCTTGAACTCCTGACCTCAGGTGATCTGCCTGCCTTGGCCTCCCAAAGTGCTGGGATTACAGGCGTGAGCCACCGTGCCCAGACTGTTCATGTTCTTTTAAATCAGTTGTCTGTGGCTGTGTACTTTCTTCATCCTTAATATTGTCTAATTTGTGCCCTCTTTTGTTGTTGAGAAACTTCACCAGAGACTTGACCTTTTTTTTTTTTTTTTTTTTTTATTGAGACGGAGTCTCACCCTGTCTCCCAGGCTGGAGTGCCGTGGCGCGATCTTGGCTCACTGCAAGCTCTGCCTCCCAGGTTCACTCCATTCTCCTGCCTCAGTCCCCTGAGTAGCTGGGACTACAAGCACCTACCACCGCGCCCGGCTAATTTTTTGTACTTTTAGTAGAGATGGGGTTTCACTGTGGTCTCGATCTCCTGACCTTGTGATCTGCCTGCCTTGGCCTCCCAAAGTGTTGGATTACAGGCGTAAGCCACCGCACCCGGCCGACTTGACTATTTTGATTTTAGTCTTTTGAAAGATTTAAGTTTTGGCTTTGTTGAGTCTTCTCTACTGTATGATTTCTATCTCCTTTCTACATTTTTTCTAATTTAAGTTGTATACCTAAGTATTTAATGTTTACACTATACTTTTTTTTGAGACGGAGTCTCACTCTGTCACCCAGGCTGGAGTGCAATGGCACGATCTTGGCTCACTGCAACCTCTGCCTCCTGGATTCACGTGATTCTCCTGCCTCAGCCTCCCAAGTGGCTGGGATTACAGGCGTGCACCACCACGCCCGGCTAATCTTTTTTTTTTTTTTAAGAGATGGATTCTCACTCTGTCTCCCAGGCTGGAGAGCAGTGGCCAATCTCGGCTCACTGCAAGCTCCACCTCCCGGGTTCACACCATTCTCCTGCCTCAGCCTCCCTAGTAACTGGGACTACAGGTGCCCACCACCATGCACAGTTAATTTTTTGTAGTTAAGTTGAGACGGGGTTTCACCATGTTGGTCAGGCAGGTCTCAAACTCCTAACCTTATGATTTGCCCACCTTGGCCTCCCAAAGTGCTGGGATGACAGGCGTGAGCCACTGTGACTGGCACCATGCTATACTTCTATATTACCTTTCTAAGGCTTATAAATTTCATTCAAATTAATATTTGTATTGTAATTCAGTTCTAAATATCTAATTACTTTTGATTTACTCAATTTACATAAGTGTCCCATGTGTGCTTGAAAATAATCTGTATTCTTAAATTATGATGCATGGCTTTCTGAATATCATGTCCATTAAATTAAGTTGTCATCATGTTGTTCTTTATTTATTCATTTATTTTTTGAGGTAGGGCCTCACTCTATTGCCTAGGGTGGAGTGCAGTGCACGATCATGGCTCACCACAGCCTCAACTTCCAGGGTTAAAACAATTCTCTTGCCTTAGCCTGAGTAGCTGCGACTACAGGCTCATACTACCGCTATTTTTTAAGTTCTTTTTGGAGAGATGGGGTCTCACTATGTTATCTAGGCTGGTCTTTAACTCCTGTCTTCAAGCGATCCCCCTGCCTCAGCCTCCCAAAGTGCTGGGATTATAGGCATGAGCCACCACGCCCATCATGTTGTCCAACTCTTCTATTAATGTTTCACTTCACTAATGTTTTCCTTATCTATAGTGAATGTAGCCATTTTACCCTGTAGTTTAATTTTGCTTTATGTATTTTAATACTATTTTTCATTAGAAGCATACAAATTTAGAACTGTTGTATCTTGACTGTGAATAGAAGTGTTATAAAGTGAGCCAAATTATTCCTTAACAATGCCCTTTGTTGCCCTTTTAATTTTGTTGGATATTAATACGGTTATCACTTCCACTTCCAGCCATGATGGAATAAGAGGGATAGGATTTCCCCTGTTGCTATAAACTGTTTCAGACATCGGGCAATAGCAATGTAGAATTGTGATTCTCCAAGAGAGGGAAACAAATTAAGTGAGCCCTACTTGTCTCCTTGGCTTTCTGCCCAGAGGCACATTCTATAGCAGAAGAGGAGTCCCAAACAGCACCACGGAAATCTCACTAGTAGAGACTAGAGACTTCAGTGAGACTGAGGTGGCTGAAAACAGTGAGACAGCATTCCAGCGAGGAGAGAAATAGGCAGAAAAAAAAATTGGGAAATCTGTTTGGGGTTCCCTTAATCTTTGCTGAAGACTAAGGATGCATACATGCTGGGTGAAGCTCCATGAGTCATGCAAAAGGCAACTGAGAAGCTGTACGTAAGCTCAACCGTTCCCAGAGCTCACACAGGGCTGAGAGACTTTAGACAAATCTGAATAGAGATTTCTCCCTGGTCACTCAGGGCATAGTAGAGACCCTAGAAGGGCTATGGCTTAGTAGTGGGATGAAACTATTCCCTGAAAAGGCTACTACTGAAGCTTAAAAACAAGCCTTACACTGCTAAAACAGAACAGCTATAAAACATCCTACATCCATTAAAAAAAGACAACAAAATCCAGACATTAAAAACATAAAATTCACAATGCTTGGAATCCAGTTAAAAATTACGGGCCAGAGTCAGGCATGGTGGCCCATGCCTATAAATTCCAGCACTTTGGAAGGCTGAGGTGGGAGGAGAGTTTGAAGAAACGAGGAGTTCAAGGCTGCAGTGAACTAGGACTTCACCACTGTACTCCAGCCTGGGCAACAGAGTGAGACCCTGTCTCTAAAAAAACAAAAACAGCTGGGGTGTAGTGGCTCACGGCTGTAATCCCAGCACATTGGGAGGCTGAGGTCGGTGGATCACGAGGTCAAGAGATTGAGACCATCCTAGCCAACATGGTGAAACCTCATCTCTACTAAAAATATAAAAATTAGCTGAGCGTGGTGGCACGCACCTGTAGTCCCACCTACTCGGGAGGCTGAGGCAGGAGAATCGCTTGAACCAGGGAGGTGGAAGCTGCAGTGAGCAAAGATCGTGCCACTGCACTCCAGCCTGGTGACAGAGGGAGACTGTCTCCAAACAAACAAACAAACAACAAAAAGTACTATACATGCCAAGAAGCAGAAAAATTGTCACCCACAGGAGAAAAATCAGTCAAAAGTGAGATCCAGAAATGACACTTCAGTAGGTAGTAGGATGGCATCAAGTGCTCTAATATATTAGTAACTGGATTCATAGCAAAAAAAAAATTGAGAGAGGGACAGAAAAGCATTTACAAGCAAAGACTTAAAACTGGCAGGGTATGGTGGCTCACGCCTGTAATCCCAACACTTTGGGAGGCCAAGGCAGACGATCAGTTGAGGCCAGGAATTCCAGACCAGCCTAGCCAACATGGTGAAAGCCTGTCTCTACTAAAAATATAAAAATTAGCCAGGCGTGGTAGCTGGTGCCTGTAATCCCAGCTACTGAGGAGGCTGAGGAAGGAGAATCACTTGAACCTGGGAGGCAGAGGTTATAGTGAGCCAAGATCATGCCACTGCACTACAGCCTGGGCAATAGAGTGAGACCCCATCTAAAAAAAAAAAACTAAAAATTTTCCAGATCTAATCCCATTAACCCTAAAAGTTATACTAATCCTTAAGCAAGATTAAAAATCTTAAAAGCAGCCAGATAAAGACCTATTACGTATAGAAGACCAAAGATAAGAATGGCCTAGCTTCTTGTCAGAAACCTAACTCAGAAAACAACAAAACATTTTTAATGTTCCAGAAAAAACAAAACAAAACCTGGTAAACTAGAATTTTATATCCAACGAAGATACTTTTTGAAATGAAAGCAATTCAGCAGGTCATGAG